TGTTGTTGCTGCTGTTGTTGCTGCTGTTGTTGCTGCTGTTGTTGCGGTTCGACAGTTGTTGCTGCAGCTGCTGTTATAATTGTTGCTACTGATGATGTTGCTATTGTTGCTGTTTCTGTTGTTGTTTATTCTCTGTTATCAAGAGAGTATGGAGTAACTTACTTCATACTCTCTTGATGTTATTTATCTTATTTTTATAGTTTTTGTCAAGTCTGAAGGCAGAATTAGGAAGCTTGGCTTACAAGATATCTGCAGAATTTAAACGAAAATCCGCAGAGATAACAAAAAGAATAAGAAACGAAACAAAGGTTTGTTTTACTCCACTTATCTCTTYCCTTCCCTTCCCTCCTCTCTTTCCTCTCCTTTTCGTTTATCCCTGTCGTTTATTCTATTTTTCTTTCCAACTTTCCTACTATAGATAAAAATCAAAGTACAAGCCAAACGCCAAGCAAATGAAAGACACGAAACAGAAAACAAGATCAAGGGTCTTGTCAGCGCGGTAAGATCGATAACTACTCGGCTCAAAGTAACATCAAACACCATCTGGGCCCGGTTATACGAAGGGTTGATAGTGATATCCAATGGATAAATCCTTACCCAGTAGATAAATCGAAGTTGTTATCTAATAAATTTATCCACTGGATAAGAATTATTCGTCGGACAGTGCTATCCACTCTTCGTACAATCGGGCCCTCATTGTATTTACATCATGTTGACAATCGTGGTTTCCTTTCTTGTCCAGCGCGAACGCAACGAAATCATGGAACTGCTACGAAAAAGACATGCCAAGGAAGAAGAAGAACTGAGAAAAAAGGCTAAGCTTGATCTGGATGTGGAGTTGGAGAAACTTAGAAAGGCAAGACCATTGATTGAACACTTCCTAGGTTTTCCTTCCCTCCCTTTTCAGCCTTTTGCTTGAATCCTTTAAGTATTACTCCATGATTGGTGAATTATACCCCATTCTATTCCCCCTCCCCTTCCTGGAGCTGGTGGTAGTGGGGCAGGGTTTTAATTGAATAAATTGCCACCGTAGGTTAAAGTGTTTTACTCTTGGGCCCCTTGGAAGGGGGAGGGAGCTAAAGAAGGGGGAGGGTAACCTACGTCAAACGCTCCCTCTCCCGGAAGTAAATGAACATTTTTTTTTCCATTAGGAAATATCTGTAGGTAAAAGGTTTGCTACGAAGGAATGTCAAAGCAAGTTTTTACAGGATCTGATTAAAGAAGCACGCTTCAATGAGGAACACGCTAATGATATTGTTAGAGAACATATGTCCAATATGGCTGCTGTGGAGAGGGTCATGGCAGAAGAGAGGTCGAGGAGGCTGGTTGCTTTAGAGATGAGACTTGCAGAAAGACAAGCATTAGCACTTCAGAAGGTAACTGGCGAATCTACTGACTACCAGCCGACCGACCGACTAACTGACCGACTGACAGATTGAACAACCCACCCATCGACTGACTGACTGACTGGCTGGCTGGCTGGCTGGCTGAATGAATGACTAACCCCATCACTCTAAATTTCTCTACAGCATGAAGATGAACGTCACAACCAGGTCATATTAAAGGCTGTTGGCGATCACCAAGATGAAAGCCTGGAGAATTTAGTCAGGTAAAGCTTTATTATGTTTACCTGTTTTAATGTATGCATGCCAATCCTCTATTTTTCTTGATCACTCTCCATCATTGCGCCAACTGACCAACCGATTAACTGACGTTTCATTTAATTGACCCCCATCACTCTGAGCATGTTGTGCAGACGGATTAGCCTGATTTTCACAACAGCATAAAGATAAACGTCGCAAACATGGCCAACGCATAGTAACCCCTGGTGGATGAGAGTGAAGGGCAAGTCACTCTTTACCCCTCTCCCCCCTCGCACATGGAAATTTGTAGACCAAATTAGACATTTCATACTAGCAATCTAATGTGCGGTTAGACAGCGATGGGCAAGGGGAAAAGAGTAATACTCGCTTCATATCATACTTGTGTTTTAAGATCTTCCAAGCTGAGCGATGCAGATGCAGCAGCTTATCGTGAACAGTACAGAAAAGAGATGGAAGCCCTAGACAAGAAACTGCAGAAAGAAAGACAAAAACAGGCAAAACACCTCCATACCAAGCTGACTGCATTGAAACAGAAGAGAATGCAGGATAAGGTGGATACTTGGATATTCATTATTTTTGAGGGGAGGGGAGGGAGAGAGATATGAGTGTAATCTCTTGCATGTGACGTAAAAGGAGCTCAATTTGGAATTCTCAATCTCCTGAGAATTGGAAACCTATTGGTTTGTCCTCAAAAATGAGCTGCATTCCAACGTGCTGCAAGGGGTTCATAAATCGTGGAGAGAACTGAGAAATATAGGGAATGAAGGAGTGAATCGAAACCGAAGGGCCAGTTGAGTACGAAGCAGGGCCCGGTTGTACGAAGCCTGGATAGCGCTTTCCAACAGATAAATCTTATCAAGAGAATATGAAGTACTTAATATTCTCTTGATCTTATCCAGTGGATAAATTTATTGGCAAACAGCATCGACTTATCCACTGGATAAGGATTTATCCGCCGGATAGCGCTATCCAGGCTTCGTACAACTGGACCCAGGAGGATGTGAAGAGCAACGTTATAATACAAAGAAAGGTTTCGGTGACAGCCATGTTTTGGTGCAAAACCATAGAATGTTTTTCCTTTGGGAAATAAAATATCATTGTCATGCAAAAAGTTAGATTCATTGTTCCTGTCCTCCTATATTTCCTTTTCTGAGATCAATAAACTTCATGATGCATTGTGTTCTAGCTTGGTTACAAACAGCATCCTTGTAAGGCAATGTGAACAAAAGATATTTGTATCCAAACTATACCGCAATGTACCATGTTTATTAAATTCAAAAAAAGGTCGTTGGCAGCCACGTGGAGGGAGCGGGGAACAATCAAACAATGATCTCAGGAAAGGTTAATGAAACCTCTTGATTAATTTATCCTTCCAGGTTCAAAAACATCAAGAACAACTGCGCAAACTGAAAGAAGAAGAGGACGACAAGTTTGAACAAGTTGAAATCGGTAAAGCTCGGCAATACTTGAAATGAAGGTAGTACTGTACTCAATCTGTTCACTTATTGTTTAAACTACTTTCATAGATTGTATCTCCACACTTGAAGAGAGACGACAACTGACTCTGCGGCAGAGAAAAGAGCTTGAGGAGCTTGAAAAGACAGCTGATAAAGAGGCAAGGAAGCACCAACATTGTTCATTGGACTTTTAGTTTAGTTCTGTTTTTCCTGTTGCTCCTACTGTTGTAGTTACTGCTGGTGGGGTTTTCATAAAACTTCCTTTGAATTTGTCTTGCTTTTTTAGATGTTGTTGCTGTTGCTGCTGCTACCGTTGTTGGCGTTGTCGTTGCCACTGTTGCTGCTGTTGTTGCCGTTGTTGTCGCTGCCACTGCGCGTTGTTGTTGTCGTTGCCACTGTTGCTGCTGTTGTTGTCG